TTGTTTCTTTCACGATGTATACCCTGCTATATACAAATCAAATAAAGAAATGATGTTTACCTACAAAAAAAAAAAAATAAAAAAAAAAAATAATAATATTTGATATTATAAAATATTATGAACAAGTTTAAACCAAATTTCATTTTACATTAAAAAAAGTTTGTATATTATTAAATATTTTTAAAAAATGTGATAATTTAACCATAAATTAATTAATAGAAAATATAGTATAATAATTTGAATTATTGGTTTTTATTTTTAATTATGGTATAGTAATTTTAAGAATTATAGAATATTAATATAAATATAATAATATAAAAATATATTTTTGAATTTTAAATTAATAAGAACTTATAATACATTAAATATTATTTAAATTGATTAATTAATCTAACAATTAATTATTTTATTTAATAAAGTTTTTAGATATTCAAAATAAAAAAAATTGTTAATAAATAATTGAAGTTAAAAACCATTGAAAGTTAAAATAATATAATGTGATTTTTTGATTATTGATTAATATAAAATAGAAAAGTAATTTGGAAAAAAATAATATATAGTAAATTTCATGTTTCTGCTTTTTATCTATTCAATTATAAAATTAATAATATTGTATTAAAAAAATAATCTATATTATTTTGTTTATAAAATGTATTTTTTTTTTAGGTTTTTGTAAGATATTTATTAATATTAATATATTTGAATTATATTTATTATAAAAAAATTGGTTGGTGATATATTTCTAACTATTTCCAATTTTTAATAATTTGTTATGTATGTGATACTGTTACCATAATATAATTTTAAAAAATGGTTGGATTTTATTTTATTATATATAAACTTCTGATCAAATATTCCAATTATTAGTTTGTAAAATTCTTATAGTAAAAAAAAAACAAGATTTTTAATTTTATGTACAATAGCAAATTACAATACATGTTTAAAAGAAAATACATTAAAAATTATACTTGTACTAATAAACAAATATTTTGAACTTAAATAACAACTTGTACAAAATAGTTATTAGATTTTTGCAAATTGTTCATAATAATATCAAATGAATCTTATATTCAAGAGATTTTTTTTAGATAAAATCCCAGATATAACTAAATTCACACCAAAATGAAGTATTGTTGTTGTTTTTGAGAATCTACAGTATGTGCCAAACTAAAAAAAAATACAACAATAAATTACTTTTTTACTTTATTAGTAACCAACATCAAAATATCTATCCTACAGTATATACTGTATGTGACCAGTAATACTATATATTCAAATTTTTAAAATTATTTGTGAAAATCCAAGCCATCTTGCATTATTTAACAATAAGAGTTATGGAACAATATTATTTGAATTTTGCATCAGTATGATCCTAAAAAACTTTCAAAATCATCGACAAGTAGCTACAAATACAAAATTGAATGGTTTTATATTTTACTAAACCAAATGATTATAAGTATACATCTTGATTGGGATGCTCCTTTAAAATCAAATGAATAAAATAAGATTTAAAAATTACATTATTTCTTCTCAATGTCTTCAAAATCATCACTAAATGCTGTTTGTATTGATGTACTGGAATATGTCATTAAAATGAATACAAAATGGAGTGCCTACTTCGTCGAATTAAGAATTGTGGAACATGATGCCCGTGCTGTACAGGTCATGTTAGACATACTCTTGAAGATACTGTATAGAAGTTCATATTATTTAAACATGAAGAACATTTTCAACTGAGCATAAAAACAACCGACTATTATTGATATGGCATTGCAATGTAAAAAGTGGTAGGTTGTGTCCACTTTGTGTGGATAATGCCAGTCTCACTCTAGAAGAAGCCAATTAGCTAAAATGTCAAATGTCTCTCGACTATACATAAAATTTCTAATACTCCAACGACATGGAAATGCTGTCAAGGACATATTTGGAAAAGTTTATTTCATAAATTAAATACTATATTATGGACATGGTGTCTATATTGTGCAAGTGATATAAATTTAACTCTTTAAGAACGCAAAGCAAATTTTATTATCCAAGCATGGTAATATCTTTCAACTGAATATATTAACATACCCAATCCACTTATCTGGAAATACCAATTCAATAATCAATAGCATAGTAATCTTAATCACATTAAAAATAGAGGAAAAAGATGTCGTATTGGTTGATATCAGTCAATAGAAGATTTGAACAAACAAAAAATAGAGATTGTCTTTGATATTATTATTATAATTTGCAAAAAAATTAGAATGGATTATGAAAATATTAACATATGGAAGCCATTTCAATAACATTCAGCCAGGAAGTTGGTGCCCATATTGCGCGGATAACTTTTGAGGCTGCAAAGCAAATTTTATTATCTAGACACACACAATGCCTTTTACTGCAATCGAGAATAAAAATAGTCAATTACAATGTTGTGGTGTTGTTAATTACGTGAAAAATATCATCTGGAATTCATTTTATATAAATATAAAAAGATGACTTGTGCTGTTAGATCGTATCAAATATCCTGGACCACCATCTATATATGCCGACCTTATTTTCTCAAAACGTCTGAATATACATCTGGGTGAGAACTAGATACTTATATCCAGAATATAAATTTGCGATAGAAATACAAGGTGGGAAACATGAAAATTGTATTGAATTCTTTCATAAAGGCAATCCAAATAATTTCGACCGACAGTAAGCATGGGATCAACTCAAGAAAGAATTGTGGAAGAAAACTTGATCGTTTTAAGATATGCCCGGTATTACGAAGACCCATATATAGTTATCCCAGAGCGTCTTCGAGAATTAGGTCTTATTGATTAAACAATAAAATCTCAAGTACATTATTTTGTAAAGCACAATATGATACAGTATACTGTATGTGCATATGTACGTATGTAAAAGAAATAACTGTGCTAATTATTCGTTAGTATACAGTAGTAAAATCAAGGATGTTGTTTATATCATAAATTTTTTATCATCATTAACCATATTAATGACGTTTTCGATTCTTTTTTTTCTTAAATTTTTTGTTCTTTCCCTTTTTTATAGTGGTGTATATAGCTAGGAAAAATAAGCACATAAAAACATTAGTAAATAATAACATATCTTCATAATAATTTTCTGCATACTTACGTTCAGATGGTGGTTCGAACTCATATACAATTCCATCATCCTCCACAACCCAGAACAAGTTATCTTTTCTATGATTTAATTTTACCTTTCCAAAGAATCTCCCATTAGCCACAAAACATGCATCATATCCTCCCACATAAATACACGACCATAACAGTTTAAAAAAATCATTCCATAATCGATCTCCCCAATAATAATGATGTGATTAAAACCAAATTTTGCAACCCACTGAATGTATAATTTAAGACCTTTGGATCACCACTATCGCTAGGAAGTTCGCAACCAATAAAAGATGCAAGATGACGACGGTCAGTATCATTAACATACGTATCGACTACCATAAGTGTATTTTTGCAAAGTGCTTCTTCATTTTGTTCATCACATTTTGACACCTGAGACATAGATTCTTGATTTCCATTAGTTCCTCTTTCTTTGATAAAGCAAGGGTGTGCGAATAAAAGACAACACGGTTTTATCGGGATTTCTGTTGTCCACGTAACGTCTTCTATGGTACCGATTCTGAACAACTTCCCAAAGGATGTCTGCAATTCGCCAATTGTTTTTTGGTTAGGGCAGGCTTCGAACCCCGTTGTAATATCTTCTTTGTTTTCACTATCGATGATGGCGCTTCCTTTCTCGCTGTTTTGTAACGAATCGACGCACCGAGCTTGAACCTCAATATTTTCCCTTTTCGTAAATGGAAGAAATGAAAGTGTTGTGTAGTTAGAAAAAAGCTATATTAAGCTTGGTGATGTTAAATATGTAAGGGATTTAAGGTTCGACACTTTCTAGATTTTGCATTCATGACGAATATAAATCTGATAATTATTTTTTAATTATATCTATATTAAATACTGTACATCTTATTTGTCACTTCGTATTGAGAGGCTGATCGTCTCCTGCCGATTTGAAGTTCGAGTAGGTGTAAAATGTAGCCGTTGCTTCAAAATAAAAATACAACCATTATAATAAAACGGGTTGATATGTAAAAAATCCAAGTAAATGTTACCAGCCCTAAGGATACTCGGTACTGTATTTCGGTTTCGATTGGTAAGCGCGACTGATCGCCAGTTCACATCACTCACTGCGGTAATGACACTCAACTGAGATACGCTATACAGTACTGGTTATTTAAATAATAGTCGATTCTATAACCGAAATTCCTGGTTTGGAAAATGAGCTTTTTCGATAACCCCATATCTCCATTATGATAATATACATTAAAATTTTGCATATACAGTTTATACTGTTATAAATTTTTTAGTAATTTAAAATATTTTATAATTAGAGTTACTAGTAATTAATAATACTTGAAAGCACTTTGAAATTGAAAATTTTCTTTAAAAAGCTATCAATAATTAAGAGCATTTTTAAGTAAAAAATTAATTGCCAAAAAGGTTTTTTTCGCTAAAATTTTACTTTTTTCAATTAATATAACAATTTTGATCTGTAATTGCATTATAAGTTTAAAACATATTTTTAAATAATTGTTAGATATACATATAGTATTAGCATATATTTATTAGTAGAAGTCAGAACTTGGCATGTGGGATTTAAAAAAGTACGGCCTATAATATTATTTATATATCAATAATGCATAATTGATAGATATAAAGTTTATAAAAGTTTAGACCTAGAGGTTTATAGCATAGTGGTAATAATTTATAAGTCACCAAGAGAAGGTCTAGGGTTTAAACTCACCTGATTACAAAAAAAGTTACTAACTTCTTGATTGGTGGATCACCTTCCAATTCATTTTATATTCAATCAGCTAAAAATCAACTTTTAAATTTAGTTAAACTGCATGAAGATAGGATCTCTGATCTTTTCAATGATCATAAACTGAAAACAGATTGAAGCAAGGAAGGTTGCACAATGAAAGGCTTCTAGTCTAATTTTAGTAATAAGTCTATAAACTTTAATCCAAACTGGTAACAGCAGACTTTATTATATACAATTACAATGAGATTAATTCTAAGCTAACCTATCTCAATCTGGAACTATAAGGTCTATCCCAATCAATAGTGTTTTACGGAACTTAATTATATGACCAAAAGGGCAAAGGTATTAGTCATAAGTAGTAAGAAGCTAGACAAAAATTATTAATGCCAAGTAAGTCTACTGAGGACCAATACAAGAATAAATCAAAATCTAAACAAGAATGTCAGTTTCACAGGTGATGAAAACAATAGCACTATGTTATACTAATAATATATCTCAAGAATCAAATAATAATAGTAACTAAAATAGTAGAATTAATTTCTATAATATTATTCCATAACATGTCTTACCCATGACTAGAATTTCAATCGGTACCATTCAGTATGGTATTTTATAAAACCGATACCAAAATTATTTTTTGGTATTGGTACTATTAGTTACTGAAAATTTTCAGTACGAAACTTTGCAATACCGATACCGAGCTGAACGTATTGAAATTATCAAAATTAAATAAGTTTATATTTTTAATATAGCATATATTTATCATATACAAAAATAATATAACTCAAACATGTATATA